ACGGGGGCGTACGTGTCTTTTGGTGTATTTGTCTGTCTGGTATATTGTTTGTCGGGGGTCGCAATTTTAAAGAAATGTATTTTAAAGTAATGCAAATAACTGATAAATAAGTAAAAACTTACCTGGGCATAACCCCGGGACAGGTGCCTGCAACAAAGATGCCGACGGCCTCTATGCTTAGCCGGGGATTAGGTCGGTGATTAAAAGGAAAGAAAGGGATTCTTTCCAGGTAGCCTTAATAAAGGCAGGTAGATTTTGCTCGTTGCAATCACTTCACCTCACAAACAAACACGTCCGATCAGCTCGGCTGTTCGCACTGAACTGACCCCTGCCCGTTAACCTTTTCTGTTTCAGAGACCGTCAGGATCAAGAAACGAAGACAACGACCATGAGTCTCCCTGACAACGACACACACACACACATAGACATAACCTTCTTACCTCTCCCGTCCCGCGCTAGCCTAAGGGCCACCTTAGCAAAGCGCATCCCAGGATGCATAGCCGCACTACCCTACCCAACCATAAACATGACACCACCCCCGGCGAAGCAAGAAGAGCGCCAGAAGAAAGGGCCCTAGCCGGCGGGGCCCAGCCAGGACAAAGCGCTTACACCGGCCGCATTTGCCGTCGGGGTAGACGACGGATGGGGCCCATCTACGAAGGCTGTCCAGGCCTACACGAGATGAGGCAGAATAAAGAGGGATAATCCCCCTCGATCCCAAATCATTGAGGCCAATTTCTAGTCATGGAAGAATGGCGCGTGGCGCTCTTAAAAAGTATCAGTATCGAATACTTTTCACATCGATTACTCAGTATTCGTTACTTATCCAGGTAACGGATAAAAAGTAACGAATAATTATAATATTGACATCACTGATCACTACCTTCTCAGTGTTGCGAGCACTATTACTTTCGTAATAGATCTATTACCACTAAAAGCTCCCTATTACGCTATTACGCCGCGACGAATATCTATTACTTTTTTCAATATGACATGACGTTATTTATACCGATGAATGCTACCAATACAACCCTTGCTCAAAGTGAAACTAAATCGCTCGCCATTTGCAAGAAATCTCACTTCATTACTGTTCAATGACTGTCTGGTCTAATCTGTGTTTTATGTTTTATGGTTGGACTTGTATAGTCATAAAGCAATGATACTTATAATACATGTACATGTATTATAAATATCCTTGGTACCCGGGCTGTCGAATTGCCCTGTTTCACGGGTTCTCCACCCGCGGCAGCACACTACAGGACAAATTACCATACCTATATGGAATTACGTCTTCTCAATTGATTGATCAGCTGATCAATAATTTGACGTTTCTTATAAATTACGACATTTTGCATTTAACGTGTTGTGCGTAGTTTGATTCATTGCATTTCTTTGTGTTTCACGTCATTCTTTACTTGCATTGTTGTTTATCGGTATTTCACGTTTAGTTTTAATGTGGTTTTGACATTTATGCTCTAACATTTGTGTTTCCAAATAGTGACACTGGAGCCACCACACTACAGGACATTACAGAATTCTATTTTGAAAATCGGCTATGTCGACAGACAAGTATTACGCAGGCGACGCGATTTAGCAGACTATGGTCATGATGACGGTCGCGAATAATTCCTTATTGTAATAAGAATTCTTGCCTTTTAATGATAGATGGAGCCATTAAAGTATATTAAAATTACAGTACCTAGGCACTGTAATTAAAATGTATTCAATTTTCACTGTTTCAATGTTTAACTGACCGTTTGCTAGAGAGTATACAATGTTTTATACTTTATTATATATACTGCAANTAAAGTATATTAAAATTACAGTACCTAGGCACTGTAATTAAAATGTATTCAATTTTCACTGTTTCAATGTTTAACTGACCGTTTGCTAGAGAGTATACAATGTTTTATACTTTATTATATATACTGCAAAAAGATAACCCTTTTTTCTGGTATCACGAAATCTATTACGAAAAGTTGAAATTTATTACTAATTTACAACGACATCTAGTACGAAAAAAAGAGACCTGCTCGGAACGCTGTACCTTCTTTTTTCTGTTTTGTGGTGTAATTATAAAACGTTTAAAATGGTGAGGTACCAAAAAAGTTATGTTATTCGGATTCTAAGTTGCATCTATTAATCCGCTTGAATAATTTATTGAAGTGATATACAAAATCTTTTTATAAATAAATACTTACTCCATAAGTTTGGTTAAGTTGTATTGATACCATATCTCTCGTTTTCAAAAATGGATCAGATGCTACCAAGTCCTGGTTTCAGTATACCTAGTATAGGTAATATTTGCAAGCATATATTCATAATAGGTAGAAATATCAATTTATTTTTAGGGACGCCTCTACATCAACCAGAAGAGGACCAAATGATATTACCAAATGCTTTACAGCAGCAGCAACAAGCCTCTACATCAACAGTACCTCCATTGGCTCCAATGGGAGGCTTAACTCCAACATTGGGACTTGGCATGGGTCAAGCTATGACAATGCCTCAAACTAAATATGTAACAGGTTTTGCTTTACCAATGGGTAATATGACAACTCAAACCCCAGTAAGTACATACATCTACTAGGAATTTTAATTTCCTCCCAAATATTTCCTTACTTGTTACTGGCACATACATTAATTACATTATACAGATCGAAACAAATTTAATTAAGCAAAGTGGTATTGAATCATGTAATATTAATTCCTACAACATTTTAAAATTTATACTATTTATTTCCAATACAGATATGCTAATTCTAATTATCTAGAAATGTCGAAACTGTGCAACATTCTCATTTCTATACTTAACAAACTTCAAATCGAACTTTTTGCACAAACCATATAAAGCGGTAACTGGATTAGTATACGATATAGAAATTGTGTAGGGACATGTCATGAGACTGAGACTAGCAGCCAGACTCATTAGCAATACCGGTTTATAAAATATTGATTATTTAAAACTGGAAAAATCGTATTATACTCATAAAAATAATCGTAAAATAGTATAGGGACAAATATTTATGCAAATTAAGAACTGGTACTACATTTACAACTTATATTGTGCAATAATAATGTTGACATAATTCTTTAGAAAAGAAAAGGTATAAGTTCGTGTTCACAAAAATTTTGAAATTGAAATACGTCAGGGGAGGGGGAGGGGAGTGGATTTATAAGCAACTCGGAACCACCCTCGTTTTTCTTTGGTTGCCTCTCTACGGGGCTGTAAAATATAATTATTTAAATATTTTTAGAGCAGAATTTTCAACTTTATCCCGGAAACTAAATTTTCTACCCCATCAACGTTCGTGTTGACAAATTTTTTTCCAGCATAATGTTGAAAATTCTGCTCTTAAATATTTAAATAATAATATTTTATAACCCCTTAGACGGGCAACCAAAGAAAAGCGAGGGTGGTTCTAAGTTGCTTGTAGATCCCTCCCACCGAAGTATTTCCTAATTTTTGTGAACACACAACATTTAGATGGGGTACATTTTTTTTCCGGCATAAAGTTGAGGTTCTGCTCTAGATATTTAAATAATAATATTTTACAATCTCCTAGAGACGGGCAACCAAAAAAAATCGAGGGTGGTTCTGAGTTGCTTATAGGTCCTCTCGTTGTCGCATTTCGAAATTTTTGTGAACACGAATGTTTAGTAGGGGTAGAATTTTTTTTCCCGACAACAATTTGAAAATTCTGCTCTAAATATTTAAATAAAAATATTTTACAACCCCCTAGACGGGCAACCAAAGAAAATCAAAGTTGGTTCTGAGTTGCTTATAGTTCCCTCTCACCGACGTATTTGTAGATGTTTTGTGAACACAAATGTTTGAATGGAGTAGAATTTTTTTCCAGCATAAAGCTAAAAATTCTACTCTAAATATTTAAATAATAATATTTTACATCTACCTAGATGGGCAACCAAAGAAACTAACTCACTAACGTTTAGATGGGGTAGAATTTTTTTCGGCATTAAGTTGAAAATTCTTTTCAACATTTTTAAATAATAATTTTTTACCACCAGTTAGGCGGAGAGATAGACAATAAGGGGGTGGTTCTAAGTTGCTTATAGGTTCCCCTAGTCCCATTTTTATTTTTGTATAAGCAAGATGCGATAAACATTCAAATGTAGTTTAAATCGAGGGGCGATCCGCTAAGGAAAAAACGTACGAAGATTACAAAATTTCTGAAATCTCTTGTAATGTATCTGCAGATTTCAATATCGATTAAAAAAAAATTACAAATTTCATATAAATAATCAAGATTACAATATCTTTCAACCGATTACAAAACATTTCAGGAGATTTCAGAGTTATTTTAGTAGATTTCAATGATTATTTAAGATTTCAATAGGATTATTCGAAATTAAAAGAAGATTTCAAAATTTCTTAATAATATTTCAAGGAATACGGGAAGATTACAATAAGTTTTGAATGTCCATTTGAACAAAAATAATTGAATTAACTTCAACTGTCATTCATTTCATTCATTAACAGTAGTGCTTTGATTAAGAATTTCCAGTATCATTTTTACGCAAAAATTGTAACATTCTGATTAAGTTTTTGTTCGAATGAACGTTAAAAACTTTTTGTCATGACAAAAATGATAACGCCATTTTGAAAGTAGGTAAGTATATATTTTTATTGAAAGATAAAAATATAATAATCCAATAAACTAATAAAAATAAAAAAATAGAAGTAACATAAAATAAACATTTTCCCAAAAAATAAATAATAAGAAATATTTTAAGCTTTTATTAACACTTGTATTTAATACTTTACCTGTATACAGTGTATTTAAAAAAGACGCGGCAATATTTAAGGGGGCGATTGCCCAGATCATTTTATAAAAAAAAGTTCCTATAAACATACGTCCGCAAACGCTTCGTTACCGATCTACAGAATGTTGAAATTTCATTAAAAAAACAGTAAAAATTAAATTTCTCCAAAACCTCTTGATATTATAATGAAATTTTAGGCCTGTCAATAGCTATGGCAGACGCGTACTTTGCAATACAAAACGATTTTTTAGTCTTACCAGTGACTAGCTATTTTTAATGAAAAAAATAGGACCCCGCTGGTTTTTCTAAAAATATAATTTTTTAATTCCTTGTTCAATTATGAAGAAGAAAGCTTTCCTCAGATTATACGCACCGTACGTCACACCGTTATTGAGTAAAAAAATAAAAAACATTTTATTGCGCACCTAAACCCAATGTTGTTTTAATTGAGAAATTTAAATTATTGAACAAAGAAATTCAAATTATCAAATTTGATTGATTTTTGAAATGTGGTACATACTGTTGTTTGTAGTAGGTAATAATAAGGGGCTGCGTTTTAGAGAAATTTAATTTTTACTGTTTTTTAATGAAATTTCACATTCTGTAGATCGGTAACGAAGCGTTTGCGGACCTATGTTTATAGGACTTTTTTTATAAACTGACCTGAGCAATCACTCCCTTAAATATTGCCGCGTCTTTTTTAAACACACTGTATACAAGTAAAGTATTAAATGCAAGTATTAATAAAAGCTTAATATATTTTTTATTTATTAGTTTTTGGGAAAATACTTACCTACTTTCAAAATAGCATTATCATTTTTGTCATGACAAAATGTTTTTAACGTTCATTCGAACAAAAAACTTAATCAGAATGTTACAATTTTTGCCCAAAAAATGCCTGATACTGGAAATTCTTAATCAAAGTACTACTGTTAATGAATGAAATTAATGACATTTAAAGTTAATTCAATTATTTTTGTTCAAATGGACATTCAAAACTTATTGTAATCTTCCCGTATTCCTTGAAACCTTATTAAGAAATTTTGAAATATTCTTTTAATTTCTAATAATCCTATTGAAATCTTAAGTAATCATTGAAATTGAATTGAAATTTATATGAAATTTGTAATATTTTTTGAACTGATATTGAAATCTGCAGATACATTACAAGAGATTTCAGAAATTTTGTAATCTTCGTCTGTTTTTCCTTGGCGGATTGCCCTTCGGAACACACCAATCGCACCATATACGTTTCTGTCGAGGTTTCTGTGGCATTCTTTGGAAAATGAGGTAGGGGGGGGGGCGTTGTACAACGACTACATCGACGAAATTCATTAGCTGATTACATAGATTACAGCGAGGATTACAGATAAGATTACGTAGATTACAGATAGATTACATAGATTACAGATAAAATTACGTAGATTACATAAAGATTCCAGGGAAAACGTACGAAGATTACATCAGCGGATCGCCCCTCGGTTTAAATTCATCAGAATAAAACCGAAAATCGTATTGATTGCAACCGGTTCATTATTGTTACCGAAAACCGTTCCATTTCGTATAATTAATGGAAACGGATCAGTAAGTCGATGGGTCGCGGTCTATAAAATTCGGGATCAGCTAGCTTTAAATTTTTTATGTGATTCCAATTCTCCTTTGCTATATCAGCTGGAGGGAGATCAGAACAAATGCAAAATAAAATTATTGCATTAACAGGTATGTTAAAAGTATTTTCATTTATAGAGCGAACGGATAGTGAAGCAGGGCCTAATTGCGAATTTATTCCAACTTCACCTATACCTTGGATGGCAGATGAAATTTTAATTTTTGGTAAACTTAAGCGATTAACACATTTTTCTGTTATAAAACTTGTTTGCGATCTAGTGTCAATAATAGCGCAGACAGTTTGAAAATTGCCACGATTTTCACAAATTTCAAGTAACACATCTGAAGGAAATTGAGAAAAACTAATTAAAGCTTGCGTGGTATTATCCGAGCACGAATTATTCACGGTAGCTTGACCAGTTGAAGATAAATTCTGTATGTTACTTGGATCAACAGAGGGATAAAAATGTAACAAAGAGTGATGCCTCTTCTTACAAGTTCTACACGATGAACTAGACTGACAATCAATAGTTTTATGAACATTACTTAAACAGTTAACACATAGGTTATGTTGTTTTACAATCTGAAAGCGGTCTTGAGGGGTTTTGGAATTAAAGTCTGGACATTTGTAAATAATATGATTATTATTACACAGTAAACAATTTTTCGATGAGTTTGTAGTACTTAAAAATGATTTAGAATTAGTTATATAGCGTGAGGATGGCGGTACACGTCGAGTAAATTCTTTTGATTTACCCTTTTGTTTATAGAACGTTTTATAGTAATTAAGGCATTACAATGATTGTCTAAAAATTGAAAAATTTGTTTATAATTAGGCATTGTATCAGAAGTATTGCTGTGAAAAAAATCCAAAACGAGTAGCAGTTTCTTGAGGTATTTTATTTAACAACATATGTGCCAAGATAAAGTCCCACTGGTCTACCGGATGTTGAAGTTCTCGAAGAGGTTCTATATTTTCGGAAAATATGTCCAATAAATCAATAAAATCAAATGGATTTTCCGAGCGCAGTACCGGAGCTTCCTCTATAGCAGACCAATGTCCTTGAGCAACCAACCGTTTGTTTTGATAGCACTTAACAAGGCTGTTATAAGTAATTTCATAATTAGAAGTTCTCATAGGCAGACATTTAACAATCTTCAGTGGGAGACCTTCCA